AACGAAAATCCATCCGGTTGCCGGACACGGCCGTTCAGGACTAAACTTGTTCTACCAAGGAACGAAAATCCATCCAGCTGAAGGAGACAGCCATTCGAGTACTTTACTCGTACTAACAAAGAGGAAAACGGCCCACCACCAAAGCTTGGAAAACGACAGGACACACTCACCAAAATCGAATGTGCCAGCCCCACACAAGGAATGTAGACCGTGCCTCATGTGGCTACTGTTCCCAAGAAAGCCCAGAAAGAGTGTTGGCACCTGAAAGGACTTGGGCCCGACAAGCTGCGTTTGAATATCCTCACGGCTTCGTACCTGGACCCTTTGAGTCCGCTCTACTTCGATACGTTCGATAAGCTACCGGCTCAGGTTGCTTCGATGTACCCTCAGAGCCCCATACCAAGTAATCCAGGCATATGTTTCTAAATGATATTCGTTTCCCTCATATGATTCAGGGCATGGGGCTCTGGGTGGTATACTCACCTGTAGACAGATGCTGATCTCATGATATGGCCAGTTGTTTGGTTGCAGCATGGATGGCTCAGGCCCGCGATAGTCTATGCCCACGAGCTGGAGCTCACAAGGGCACCGACCACGCCTGCCTAAGGGCAGAGGTTTAAAAAGCGTTACCATGCTTCAGCGCCAGCGTTGTGCGAGCAACTTGTTTGGTTTCCCTCTGTTTTCAAGAGGGCTGACTTGATTCTTTGGAGGGGAGGTCTTGTGACCACTCTGCTCAGGCTGTGGCCCTGATGTGGGACTGTGAGTTTGCCTGTGGTGATGGCTTGGTGCTGGGTGAGGAGCAAACGTGCTGCTCAGCATGGGAGGTGCTCCTTTTGGTATTGTTTACCGATTTAGTCGAAAGCTTCCAGGAAGAGTGTGATGATGGTGGCTTGGAAGCCTTCGACGGATGTGATGCTTCTTGCAAGGCCCGGCAATTTGCGCTTCAGGGACGGCATCCGCAGCCCCAATCCAACTTTGTCGAGGTGGAACCTGGATTCGTGTGCGATGGAGCAGGGAAGGATGCGCCATCCATGATCGAGCCTCAGCAACGAAGTGATCGTCGGAGGCTGCAAGGATAATTGTTTGAGCGTTATCTTGTGACCTCACCTTCCCAGTTTGACAAGTAGAAGGCCCAGCCAGTTTCCCCAGTTCTGCACATTTCCAAATACAAGCCTTCCAGGTGTCGGCCTCTGGGTGCGGTCCTCAGCTGCCGCTGCATCCGAAGATGCATTGCTTTGGAGCGAAAGCCGAGGTCCAAGTAGTGTGTTCAATGAAAACGCACTAGTCCTGTAATCCGTAAGATTACATCCCCTTCTGGGCTGCAGTATTCTGAAGGGTTGCAAGCTTACTCGTCTTACGATTCAATCATGGAAGAAACCCAGGTTGTGGCCCAACGCCTCATCCACAGGGACTCCCGCCAGCATGCGTGCAGGCGGTCCTGGCAGAAAGCCGCTGAGAGACTAGGTAGGGAACAACCAACGACCCCATTTAGGGTTCAAGGGTTTAGGCAATATTCAATACCGTGGGACTGTAGGAAGTCCTTTAATTCTGGCCCACCGGCAAACACGTGAAGGGGTGGGACTCTCCAGCAATTCCTTGGTTCACAGCAGCAGCAACGTTGGCGACGG